ATTTCTGTGCATTTCTGAACGAACCTGACTTTGAGGTCACACAAAGTTAATGCCTCTTTCCTCGAGTCGATATTTCAGTAAATACACAAAAGTATGAAAGACAGTGCATAGATGACAAGATGAGGCGTCCATAACATTATTTTGCAGGATTTTTTTGATTTTTTGCAGGATTTATTTTTAATTGAATTAATTTGCTCTGTTTTAGGGGGTCGTGCCAGGATCTCGATTTCGGGGGGGGGGTCGTACTTCTGCGACCACGTACTCGACACGATTTTCACCCTGCTCCTCCCCTCACCTTCTCCCTAAAGTGACTTTTGCCGTTGTATCAAATCCAAAATGTATAATCCTTCAATCATTGAAAACAATCACCTCTCTATTCCGGCGAACTGTTTGAATGTGATACATGGCAAGACAATTCAAGATCTCCCTGAAACCTCCATTGACTACCATTCAACTCAATCTAGTAGGCTAATTCATTATAAGCCTTGACGAGGAAGAATTATTTCGGTAACTCCAGAGGTACCTCAGAAGTTCTCGAAAATACATGTGAAGCAGCGTTTGAACTCAGCTTGTCAGCCCGTCCGGAGGCCCCGCCAGGCGTAGACTGCATCGGAATGAACAGCACTGACAAGCAAGTTTTCAAATACAGCCTATGACAGGGTGAAAGGTGCTGGGCTTCTTCACTTATGGCCTGCGAGGTACCATCTAGTCACTAATGTCCACAACTCCTTTCATAAAAAAAATTCATTAATAAAATAAAAGAAATAATCAACCTACCGCAGTAGACTTTCCATTGAGCTGGCAGTCGACATTATGTTTTGTTGAGGCATATGGACGCTCTTTCAATCTTTCCACTTCAAAATCAAGACTTTTTTGAATGAGAATGTTTTCTGGTTCTGCTTGTAGGAGTGAACACATTTTACTGCTTGTTTTGGGTTACTGGGGTAGTCCTTTTCGGAGTGCTAACCGAGTCAGTGCGTTTCTTCAAAAGTTTGTGAGCTAGTGGTAAACTTTTGCACCAGTTGTCGGCACACAAGCACTTGCCTTTCTCGAGGTTGCCGGCCGTCGACCTTCACTCCCATGTCTTCCCATTCCAGTTGACGCATGACGTTCTCGAGAGCGGCGCTGAAGAGTTTGGGCGAGATGGTGTCGCCCTGTCGGACCCCTCTCTTGACGTCGATGATGACCTCCTTGTAGAATGGTGAGATTCTGGTCGTAAAGTTGCTGTAGAGCTCACGAAGAATCTTGTACTGAGTAGGGACGCCCTGGTTGCCCAAGGCTTCGATGACCGCTTCTGTCTCCACAGAGTCGAAGGCCTTCTTCAAGTCGATGAACGTGAGACAAAGCGGCATCTTGTACTCTCGTGAAACTTCAATGAGTCTTGTAACCGTGTGGATATGGTCGATCGTGCTGAACCCTCTTCGAACCCTGCTTGCTCGCATGGCTGTCCTTCATCTAGTATTCTGCCGATCCTGTTAAGGATGACTCGAGTGAATAGCTTGTAGATTACAGACAGCAGGCAGATTGGGCGATAGTTGCCAATGTCGTCTCGAGACCGGGTGCTGTACGATTCTTCACCGACTTGATGGCGTGTCGGACTTCGGAAGAGAGTACTGAGGGGACGACGTATCCATCCTGTTGCAGTTGATAAGTGGGCAGATGGACATGGCTATCGAAGAGATCCGAGTAGAAGTCGTGGATGACTTTCTCCATTGCCCTTCGGGATGCAGTAACTGTTCCATCCGGACGTCGGAGGCAGGTCATCTTGGTCTTGTAGCTGGCAAAGCTTCGGCGGGCATTGCGGATGCTCCTCCCAGCCTCTGCTGCTTCAGCTAATACTGCTGCTCTTCGCTCCTTGAGATCTTCCTTTATCGCCTCTCTGCATAGCTTCGCAAGCTCGGACGTGAGTTGGTGATTGCCTGCAGCTCGTGCGGCTCCACGTTGGCGTATCAGCTCGAGAGTTTCCGTAGACAGACGTCCTTTGGTGACTTGCAAACTCTCTGCCTTCCTGCCACTCTCGTGAAGGTGTTCAACGAGCCGATGATATTCCTCGTCGATGTTCTCGATAACGGAATCCTCCCATGAGTTGACAAGAGAAGTGAAGTGATCCCAGTTGAGGCTTCGCTTCCTGAACTTCGAGGCTCTCTCAACACGCATCGAAAAGTGGAACTTTGCGCGGAGGAGACGATGGTCCGATCCCGTGTAGAACTTCGGAACAACAGCGACGTCGGTCAGGCAAAACCTTCGATTGAAGATGATGTGGTCTATCTCGTTATGGAACTGTCCATCATCGCATGTTCCAAGGAACAGTTCTTCTGCAGTATCGAAAACAGCGTGTAGCGGGCGGTGCCTTCTCGTCTCGGTCAGATGACGTCGTGCTTGATCTTCCTGGCTTGCATCATCAGGTCTTCGATGTGAGCTTCGGATGCAAGCGTCCTTGCGTTGAAAGCCGAAAGAAATAAATAGAAAAATTGCCGTTCCAACGTATTGTATACGGTACATAACCAAATAAGTAGGTGTACCCTCAACGAACCCACATGCGTTCATCAAGATGTGAATTCTCTCAAATATCACTCGTTTTATGAGCTGCTCCTTTCCGAAAACTGACTGGATCTGGTTTCGCATAGACGAACATCTGCGGCCAACAGAAGAATCGTTCGTGGAAGGGCGCAGATATTGAAGAGATGAAGCCGATATATTGTTCTTCGCCTGCAGACCCTTCTCCACTTGACAAGCAGAGGAACTATTGGTCGTTGAAACCTAGAAACCTCGCCAGATGTAGGCATTCAGCTGCCGCAGATATCATGGCTTACGACAACCACTCCAGTCTCCATTATGTTTATGCATTATCGTCCCGTAAAAATGAGCTGCATTGAAGAGTCGACAATGAAAACATCGCGCAAGGACGTCCTCAATAGGAAGTCGCATTTGTAGACTATCGAGGTGGGTATTAGGGATCGTAGGCATCACGGTGCAGATAGGATGGAGAGGGTGTAGTGCAGCAGAAAATGAGGATATGCGAGAGAAACATGAGAGAAGATACTACTCGCAGGTTCAGTCGCTCGGTTCAGTCGCTCTGTGATTCCTTTACCTATATAAGAAGTAGGTATTTGGAGTACAAATAATGAAATGCTCCTCTGCAAGGAATGGGGTCATCTGCAAAAGAAGCTCCTTTATCTAAACCCCGCTCGCCCCGCTCCCTCGCCCTTAATTGCTCGTTAGAATGACGATCTTGTGAGGGACGCTGTCGCAAAAGGACAATGAAGATAGGAGAAGGGTTCAGGTCATCATAATGTTACACCTAAATCAATTCTGCAGCTTTGTGTGGAAGTCGGAAGCATTGGCTATAAAACAAAGTGGACCATAACGATTGCTCTTTTTCTTGTTGCTTTTTCTTTGTTGGTGGAATGTATTCCTGACACTTT